TCAGTGGGGGATGGGTTCAGTGGGGGATGGGTTCAGTGGGGGATGGGCTCAGTGGGAGATGGAGCTCATTGGGGAATGGGCTTAGTGGAGCATGGGCTCTGCAGGGGATGGGCTCCATGGGGGATGGGCTCAGTAGGACCCACTGGTAGAGCAGTCCACAGGAGGAGGGAGATAGGTGTCAGGGAGGGGATGCTGAGAGGCCTCCAGACTCAGATGCATAAGCCCAGATGTAGTCAGGAGGATCCCCTTCTGGGAGTCAAGTATTTATTCTGGAAGCTATTACTGTCACAAGTGCAGGATGGGGCAGGGAGAAGGGGATAGAATGGGACGAGCGATGACCCACCAGGCCCATGCCTTCTTCTTTCAGGTCCAGTGAGCATGAGAATGCCTATGAGAATGTCCCCGAGGAGGAAGGCAAGGTCCGCAGCACTCCGATGTAACCTTGTCTGTGGCTCCAACCCCAAGACTCCCAGGCACCTGGGATGGATGTCCAGTGCTACCACCCAAGCCCCCTCCTTCTTTGTGTGGAATCTGCAATAGTGGGCTGACTCCCTCCAGCCCAATGCCGGCCCTCCCCTCCCCTGAAGTATAGCCAGCCAAGGTTGGAGCTCAGACTGTGTCTAGGTTGGGGCTCAGCTGTGACCCTGGGGTCTCCCGCTCAGCTCAGAAGAGCCTTCTGGAGAGGACAGTCAGCTCAGCACCTCCCATCCTGCTCACATGTCCTTCCCCATAACTGTGGAAACGGCCCCAAATCCTGTGAAATAAAGACTTTTTGTATTTCTGAGGCTGAGGCCCAGCAACAGCCCCTCAGGCTTCCAGTGAGTCCCCATCTTGCTTTCTGAATCACGACAATCGTCTTCCGACTTGTCATAGTGGCTTTGGGGGATTATCCAGGAAGCCCCTGTACCCACAGGGCAGCTGGGACCGAGGGGGCCCAGGCTGGGGAGGGGCTGAGAGTGTGTGGCCAGGGTGAGGGTAAGAGAGGGTTGGGGTCTTTTCTGGTGTTTGAGAGTGAAGCACCCTCAAATGGGAGTGTCTGATGACACGTGGGAGAATTGGGAGGCAGGAAGACCAGGACAGGTGAGCCCATTTCTGCCAGTGGGGTGTTTCTTGTCCCCTCAGGCCAAACCCTTTCTTCAACCAGAGCAGCCGGGCACGGCTTCCCAGGGCAGGGCAGGGCAGGGCAGGGCAGACCCTGATATGAGCTAGGTGCCCCACTGCTGATCAGTTTCATGTATGCAGGGAAGGAAGAGGATGTCAGAGGCCCATGGGCCGGGGAGCTCACCCACTCTACCCTTGCTCCAGCCCCTGCCCCCAAAGCACCCTTCATCCCTGAGGCTCTGGGCTTTTCCTTGCACAGTGCCGTTCACCCTTTGCCTCTGTGCTGGAGGTGTCACCGTGGGTTCACACAGATCTAGTCTGTCTCCCTCTGGTGGCCCCTCTGTGCTGGGCTTTGGCATAGGAAGTGTCAGGAAGGAGTCTTGGGTTGAGACTCAGGAAGCCCAGATCTGAGTCCTGGGTCCTCTGCCAACTTGTGTGTGAGCTTGGGAAAGCTGCTGTCCTCTCTGAGCTGAGCTTTCTCTCCATGGAAGATTTGGCCAGTCTCATGGCAGAGCTGGAGGAGAGCCCAGTCCTTGCCTATGCCTGCCTCGCCCAACGCCCAGTCCTGGAGTGGGAGTCGGGGTAGGGACGGGAGGATCAGGAAACTGGGTCCTAGTAGGAGCAAGGCAGAGGGGAGGCACGCCTCGCCAGGCTGGCGGAACCTGGGGGCCCCTCACCTCTGTGACTGTTGGCCTTATGGGAACAGCTTCTGTCTCTGTCCTGGGTGGTAATCTGAGATGGACTCACCCAGGATAATTCCCAGATCCAGAGAAGTGGGGCCAGAAGGTAGGAGGCCATCCACCTTGTCCCAAAGGTCTCCCTTTGCCATTTGCCTCAGCCTGTCACAGCCCCCTTGTTCCATGTTATGGCCATTCTTTTGCTATTCTAAGGCTTTATCAAGTATCACTGGGGAAGACTCATCTTAAATGGAAATAATCTCTTCTCACCTCATTGGGTTTAGGATGCAGACAGCAGCAGAGGGAAGAGGCCTGGGGGTGGGGGAGCAGCAGCTTTGCTGCAGGCCTATCCCTGCCTTTCTGTGTGTCTTGAGACAAGTCACCTCCCCTCTCAGGGCTTCAACTTAATGAACTGCAGCTTGTGATTTCTACTCTAGGCTTTTGCTTACGTGGCTTTCTGTGACTCACGCCTTTTCACCCCACCTCTGCCCGTTTAAACTCTGTCCATTGTTTTTTCTTGACCCAGCCAAGGTTCCTCCTCTTCTGGGAAGTCTTCCTTGATTAGACCAGAGGGCAAAGCCAGGCCAGCAGCCAGTCCCGCTTCTCCACTCACTGAAGGAGAGACAGAGGTTCCTAGAGGGTCAGGCCTCTGCTAGGGCACAAACAGCCCCCTCTTCCTTTCCTGCCTCCTGGTGGGAAGCTTCTGACTGCCGGATCTGATTCTCCTTTCATGAGGCCACATTTCCTCCCAGCTCTGCCGTCAGTTGTCCCTGGGGGGTGGGAGTGTGTTCGAGTCAGGTCACCCCACCAGCCTGCCAGGGCCAGAAGGGAGAGCCACCCTCCCTGTCTCCCTGTAGCAAGTGAATCCCAGCTCCTCACACCTGTGAGGTTTTGCCAGGAGAAGCCTGCTTCTGCCCGGGCTTACCTTGCTCCCCAGCAGCTGTCTGGGGCCTCTCTAAGAGCCTCCTTGTCCCCCTTCTCATTCTGTCTTGCTCAATATGGGCAGATCTAAGAGAGTGGGAACCCAGGGGGCTCCTGCAGGGACTGGGCCGGCACTGACCTTACAGCCCCTCACCCTCACCCCATGTTCCTGCCCCGATCGGGGGCTGGGAGCAGGAAGCTGCTGGCCCCAGAACCGCTGAGACCCCCAATCCTTATCGCTCATTCCCACCTGCCAGCCTGGCCAGATCGAGGAGGGAAAGGAGGCTGGGCCCAGGCCAGGGTGGTGCTTAATGACCCTCCGGGGGCCTAATCTCAGACTGGCAGCCACGGAGTGGCTCAGGCGCGCTCCTGGAGAAGGCTGATAACGCACCAGCTGGGCCCCCACCATCTATCGCTGCACAGCCAGTCTCAGGGGCGGCCTCCGAGGGCCTGGGGAGGGGGAGCCTCCGGACTAGGGCGGGGCTGGAGGCGAGCTCTCAGCCCCTAGCACTGAGGGAGAGGATCCTGAGCTCCGTAAGTGGCTGACAAGGGAGAAACCCAGCCTGCAGGAGGGGTGGGCTGGGTCCGGTGGGAACCCCCAAACCCCTGTGCTCCTTCTCTCTTTCCTGCTCTCTTCCCAACCTTTTCTCCACACATACGACCTCTCCTGCCCAGGCCTGTCTCCTCTTTGTCTTTCCCAGCCTCCATCCATCTCTGTCTCCCTGTTTCTCGGTCTCTCCGCCTCTGTTTTTGTCTTATCTTCTGCCTCTCTCTGTCCTGTCTCCCTTCCTCCTCCTTCACCTGAGCTCAGTGCCCACCTCCTCTTTCTCCCTTTCATCCCTTTTCAGTTTCCAGCTGGTTCTGTTGGTTGTTCCCTTCCCAGCTGTCCCCTGACTCCCAAGCTTCCTTGATGTCAGCCCTTGGCCGGGCAATTCCCACGATCTCATTGGTCTCACTTCTGTGTGTGGCATCATCTCTCCGTGGTCCCTTCCACCAGCTCTCTGCCAGGACCACAGGCTGCCCCAAGCCCTGGCTCTCAGACCAGGATGTCTTACTGTTGAAGACATTTTTGCTCTTCCTGGAACAGGGCTCGCACCTTGTTTTCCCCTCTCCCACCTAAAACGTGTAAGTTTCATAGGGTTACATTAGAGATAATACCCAAACTCACGCAGGAAAGAAAAGCCTCCACCCAGCAATAGTTGAAGGGAGACTGCAGCACTGCTTACTTCTGTTAGACTTGAAGAGGAGCTTCCAACCAGGAATTGGCTTTGAAAACAGGCTGTGGAGTTCCATCTCCAGAGTGCCAGGTGGTCACGGGGAGTTTCAAGATTACTGCCCTCATACTCAGAGTGACATGTGCAGAAATACTATCTGTGCTTCAAGCAGCCATCAGATCAGGGCTATTGCTGGGCAAAGCCTCTTCCCGCAGCCTAGGGGTAGTAAAGGTGGGGGTAGAGGTGCTGGGGGTGGGGCCAGAATCACACACAGTCTGCTCTGGCCTCTTTGCCCAACTTCACAGGCAAGTCAGGTGGCTGAAGCCAGCAGAACTTGCTCTGGGACCAGGGTGGAGGCACCTACCTCCCATCCAGACCTGGCTGGGAGGTCCTGACTCCCCAGCTTGGCTTGGCTCTCCTCCCAGGTTTTTTTTTCTGTCCCTGGCAGTGCGGACGGTGGCCAAAAGCTTGAGCTTGGGAATCATGCCGATTGGTTCAAATTCCAGACCTGCTCCTCACTGCCTGTGGGATCCCTTAGCCTTTCAGATCCTCCATTCCTCCTTTGCCAGTAAAATTGGCTCTGTAGTACATTCCTTGCACCGCTGCTGGGAGGAAACAGAGATGACATCCGTGTTGTTATTGCTCCTGAGACTTGCCAGAAAGCCCTCCATGATCAACGTAGATACCATTTCTTCCCAGACGCTCCTTTTCCCACTCCTGGGTTCAGCACTTCCTCTGGGCAACTTCAGCCCCTGCTCCTCCCTCTTTTTGCACCCGCCCCACCTGCTCCACTCACTCCACTCACCCCAGGGTGCTGTCTAGTTGTCTGCATCCCGCTCCTGCCCCGGGTCTGGGAGCTCCTCAAGGGCAGGAATGGAGTGACTTCCTTCTCTGTGCACCCAGGACAGGGCTGGGCAGGAGAAGGGAAGCCGAAGGAGTGGTGGAGAGTCCCGAAGGAAGGGACTAAACTCCAGCCATCCGTCCAGCAGTGTCTGTTCACACCCCTCCTCCCTGCACGGGCGCAGACATACACATGCGCATATGCTCACTCTCTCTCTCTTTCTGGTTGAAGGTCCTGGGAGCCCTTCGGAACGCTGCTGCCTGGCAGGCCTTCAGTTTAGAGAGCTCTTCTGCCTGCCCGTGGCCTCGGCTGCCACCTGGTGGCTGCGCGCTCTAAAGGAAGGGTAGATTCAGCAGAGTCTCGGAAGTTGAGCTTCAGGCGCCGCTCTTCCCCCTCACACTGGGACTAGACGCCTTTCCACGGCGTGGTCCCAGAAACCTCTCAGGTCATGCCAACAACTGGGTCTTCCTGTGGAATGCAAGGGCAGTGGGACCTCCGAGCCCCTTCCTTGTGGCCCCAGTGGCCGAGTCTGTGAACACCTCAACCACCCTGCACTTTTGGTGGGGTCAGCTTGGGCGCTTAGCCACCCTAGTCCTGACATTACACCTCTTCTTTCAGCAGAGGTCTGGGAGTCCAGTGGCTTCTGTCCTGGGCCATGTTTTTTCCAGAGGGTGAGAGATGGCATCATTTCTGGGACCTTGTTCCCTGGAGACTCTGGCCCCCTGAAGAAACAGGATAGAGAGAGCTTGAGAGAGAGAGAGAGAGAGAGAGAGAGAGAGAGAGAGAGAGAAGGTATTAAGGATGAATATCGGTGTCTGCCCCGAGTAAATTGGAAGACGATGGCATCAGGGGCACTGGTCTGGGCTGTATAGACTGTGCCTTCACTAACAGGTCCCTGAGACCAGGTGTGGGCCCGTATCCCTGGAGGGAGGGGTGCCTTCCTCTGATTCGAAGGTATCATTTAGGCTAGTGAATGACATTGAGAATGGCAGATGCCAGGGACAAGCAGGAGCATGTGTAGGATGAGGATGCGGCGCGGCTGTGTGACATTTCGGAGCCTGCAACACATCCATAGGGAAGCCCTGGAGGAGCAGTTGGGTGCATGGTGGAGTTCTGAAACTCAGCTGGGCAGTCGGCACTTGAGCCAGAGATTCTGCTTTCGACCTGGATGCCCATTGAGAGGTTAAGAGCTCAGGTCTGGGTCGGGCAGCTTGGAAGTAGCACAGCTTGGACACTTGGCAGCCTGAGACTGTGGATAAATCAACTTAATTCTCGGAGCTCCAGTTCACTGTAAATTGGGGCAGTAAATGATGTCTGCATGATAAGTGGTGTTATGAATGTTAAACAGTCACATGAAATGCATAGAATAGTGCTTAGCATACAGTACACAATAAACGTTAGCTATTTAAAAATTACTATGGTTATTCTGATTATTTATTACAGAGTGAACTGAATTGGATGCAAGATCAAGGTGCATCAGAGCTAGCAAGGTCCTTAGGATCATTTAGCCCAGTTTACTAATATTACACTATGGAATTTAAGCCCAAGGAAGGGACAGTACCTGACCAGGGTCATGTAAGGAGTCGAGTGAGAAGTAGGCTGGAGGCTCTGTGTGGCTGGCAGGTACAGAATGTGCCAAACCCATCTGCCAGCCTGGATCTCTTGAGGCATCGACACAATGGAGCTGGCCACACTGATTTGTTCCACACCGCTGAGGCTGGTACAGTTCTGGACATGGACTTTGTAAATGAATAACTGGGCCTTTGGTCAGTTCTAGCTGTGAGCTTGGAGGTGTGGGGGTGGAATGGTGAGGACAGTTGGGGGCAAAGTGAGGAAAGGGGCAGGGAGGAGAGGGGAGTGAGAAAAAGGGGAATGAGACAGGCTGAGATAGTGAACTGGAATTGGAGGTTGGGAAGAGGCTTTCCTTGATGGTGGTGGGGCTGTTTTCTTTTTAATTTTAATTTAATTTAATTTTAAGTTCCAGGCTACATGTGCAGGATGTGCAGGTTTGTTACATAGGTAAAAACATGGTGGTTTGCTGCACCTGTCAACTCATCACCTAGATGTTAAGCCCAGCATGCATTAGCTATTTATCCTGATGCTCTCCCCACTCTAGTTCCCAACAGGCCCCAGTGTATGTTGTTTCCCTCCCTGTGTCCATGTGTACTTATTGTTCAGATCCCACTTATAAGTGAGAATATGCGGTATTTGGTTTTCTGTTCCTGGGTTAGTTTGCTGAGGATAATGGCCTCCACCTCCATACATGTCCCTGCAAAGTACATGATCTCGTTCTTTTTATGTCTGCATTGTATTCAATGGTATATGTGTACCATCCTTTCCTTATCTAGTTTATCATTTATGGGCATTTGGGTTGATTCCATGTCTTTGCTATTGTGAATAGTGCTGCAATGAACGTGCGCTTGCATGTATCATTTTATTTTTGTTTTTACTTTTGAGATGGAGTCTCATTCCATCACCCAGGCTGGAGCAGGTGCAATGGTACAATCTCTGCTCACTGCAACCTTCTCCTCCTGGGTTCAAGCAATTCTTGTGCCTCAGCGTCCTGAGTAGCTGGGACTACAGGTGCATGCCACCATGCCTGGCTAATTTTTATTTTTATTTTTGTATTTTTAGTAGAAACGGGGTGTTACCATATTGTTCAGGCTGGTCTCGAATTCCTATCCTCAGGTGATCCACCCGCCTGGGCCTCCCAAAGTGCTGGGATTACAGGTGTGAGCCACCACACCCAGCCGCATGTTTCTTTATAATAGAATGATTTATTCCTTTGGATAGACACCCAGTAATGGGATTGCTGGGTCAAGTGGTATTTCTGGCTCTAGGTCTTTGAGGAATCACCACACTGTCTTCCACAATGGTTGAACTAATTTACATTTGCCGGTGCTGTTTTCTACATTGAATCTGAGGGCTACTATATGATGTGTAGGATACTTTCTGATTGGAGCCTCACAATGATCCTACCAGGTGGTTACAACTGAGCCCAAGTTTTAGAGGAAAAAAATGCAGACTCAGAGAGAGAAAAGTGATTTGCCCAAGGTCGCATAGCCAGCTAGTGGCATTGAACCTTGGCCTTTTGACTTTAAATCTATGGCTAATTCTACCCCAGCATAGGGTTCTCTTTGTGTGTGTGTGTGTGAAATGGGGAGACAAAGAAGGAAACAGTGTTTGCCTTTGCAGAGCATGCAGTCCATTTGGAAGCATGCATGTGGGAAAGTGGGGAGGGACCCTGTCAAGCATCTAAGAGGAGTGGTTGGCATTTGCTGTGTCCACTCCATCCTTCTCACTCACTACTCAGTGCCTGTAGCCTCGCCTCTCTCCCCAACACTCTACTGGGATTGCTCTCAACAAAGACACTATTGTCCAGCTCCCTGTTGAAAGGTAAGATGGTCTATCTGATTCTTCTGCTCTCAGTATAATAGGATAATCACCATTTTCTCTGGGAAGCTGTTCCTGACCATCTGCCCACAGCTCATCAAGCTCCTATGAGCCTGCAGATTCACCCTGGTCATGCTGCCCATCTCTCTGAACAAGACTGTGAACTCTGAACTCTGAAGTGGACCACATACACCTCTTTATTGCATTGTGCAAGTGTGTTGCATGGGCCTGGAATATAGGAGGTCTCTGAGAGCTATGTGTTGACATGGAGACCTTATCCCTTGCACTCACTTACACTGCTTCCAGTAAAGTATCAACTTCCAGATCAGCACCTTCAGCTCCATTCCCTCTTGCACAGTTCCACAGGCACCTCAGGTCCAAAATGGAATTCTTGATCTTTCACCAATCTGAGTTCTCTGTTCCTGTAAGTAGCACCCATTCACCCAGACCAGAGATAAGGGAGTCACCCAGAATCCCCCTCTCCCTCAGCCCCTGAGTTTCGCTTTCCAACACATCTCCCTCCACTGCCACTCCCAGTTCCCCGACTTCAAGCCTCGATCTTGCCTGATGTTTGCAGCTGCCTGCCCCCTTGTTTTCATTTTCATGCCCAAATTTTCCTCTGTACTGCAGCTAGGGAGACCTTTCCTGCTAGAATCCAGCCATTCACACCTGCAAGAGGAATCTAAACTCCTCGAGGCAGGTGTAGCCTAGTGGCTATGTGCGTGAGCTTGAAGCCAAATTTCCCTGAGCAAATCTCATCCTGCCAATTTTATATTAGCGGGATGTACCCTAACAAGGGCATATCAGGGACTGAATATGCACATTAGGGATAAAATTAGGCCCATCTTATGAGGTTGTGGTGAAGAGTGAATGAGTTAATGGATGTAAAGAAAGCATATAGTATGCTCAGTGAATGACAGCCATCGTGATTTTCCTTTCCTTGCCTGCAATATCTCGAGCAGCCACTAGATGACTCCACCTCCTTCTCCTTTTCCAGTGCTGTCAACACACTACTGCAGGAACTCCCCTCCCCTCCCTCACCACACGTCTCCTTGCCTGTGTTGTTCATGTTTTTCCTTCTGCTAGCCTCACCTTCCTTGGGGCGTCTCCCTGACATCTTTTACTACATCTCACCCTCAGCTCTTGGAGGGTGGGATGTCCCCAGGAAAACTGGCATAGTGCCTGCATCGTACAAATACTCAGTGTTTGCTGAATGAATGAATGCGAGTTAGCCAATACTAGCTCAGCTACTTACATCATTTAGCCTCCCCAGGTCTCAGGATCTCCTTTTATCTGTGGTGACCATCCAGTGCAAAGCCCTAGCACAAGACCTAGCATGCTTTAGACCTATGGTTGCCATGCACAGCCAGCTGTCTGTCAATCATTGCCCATTCCCATTGCTCACCAGCCATTGTGCACTCTATGTTCACCCCTGTTACCTCACCAAGCTGAGGGTCTTAAACGTAGTTTTACTTCTTCCCAAAGGTCATTCTTTACTTGGTGGGGTAGGGTCTAGAAATAGTCTGCAATTTGGTTAGAGTCTAGATTTAGTTTGCAACCCAGCTGCTCTGGGTGAGCCCAGGCTTGGCTGATGGTTCAGCTGAGCCCAGAGGTTTCCCATCTGCCTGGAAAGCATAGGCTCAGCCTCCAGCTTCCCTGAACCCCAACCAAGCATCCTGGCTGGCTGTGCTCCTGGTCCTCTTTTTCTCTACTCCAGTTCCTGTCCTGGCTTGGGCTGGTTCCTGGCCACTCCTCATGGATCTCTGGTCTCTGCCTCTGTCTCTACCTGCTTGACCCTGGTCCTTGTGCCACTTACAGTAAAGCCCTGAAGCAATGACCGTTTTT